CTCTCTCTCTCTCTCTCTCTCTCTCTCTCTCTCTCTCTCTCTCTCTCTCTCTCTCTCTCTCTCTCTCTCTCTCTCTCTCTCTCTCTCCCCAAATCCTCCCCCTCCGTGACTGTGTTATCGCATAACCACTGATGGGAGAGGGAGGGAGGTATCCCTGCACTCGTTCACTCTGTCTACCTTTGCATTGAGAAGTACTAATTATAGTCTCTGTCCTCCTCTCTTCTCTTCTGTCACCCCTCCTCCTCCCGTCTACCACCTCCTGTCCCTTTTTCTCTTATCTGTCCTCTCTTTTTCCTCTTATCTGTGCTAGTGAACAAACATGTGATCTTAGAGCATACATGCACGAGTACATTGTCGATTGAATCCGTCCTGTTTCTTGAGAATTTTCCATACCTATTGTTTTCGAAATTCCTGCTCCCGCTGAAAAAAAAAATAAAAAAAAATCCCATTCAGTGGCCTTCACCCATTTGCCTGCTCTCTTTGTCTTTGCATGCCAGCCGCTGCCTTGTTTTTTTTTTTTTTTTTTTTTTTTTGCTGCTGCAATATTGAAGCATGGTCTTTCTGCGATACGTCAATGATGGTTTGTTTGATTGAAAACTCACTGTAAACTTGCAAGAAGAAGAAGAACACCGCCATCAGTGCGATCACCAAAATAGAACGCCCGCTGCCCGGTCATTTTAGCTGTATTTTGGGTAACTTTCAGTCCAGATACAGGAACGATGACAAGGCGTTCTATTCGGGCAAAGACAGCAGGCAGAAAAATACATGCTGTTCAACTTTCGTCCTAGACACGTCTGTTGAATGTTCATGGAACTTTCCTGCCTAGCTTTGTCCATTGAGCACGACACCGGGTCATTAGTATTATATTATATTATATTATATTATATTATATTATATTATATTATATTATATTATATTATATTATATCTGGATCTGTATCTGGCCAGGAAAGTTGAACTGAATACTTGCGCTGCAACATTGCCCGAGTGTTGTGTTGGGGGGACTGATGGATCAGCTTCCTAATTCTCTGGGTGTTCAATTCAGCCTTATGTGCACTGGCTCTTTCTCTGTTTTTTCATTCATTCTTTTTCCCAGCTGTGGGCCTGTGGATCTTTTCTCTCTCTTTTTCCCTTTATCTTTCTCATGAATCTCATCTGATACTGTATACTGTATCTTGTGTATGTGGGTAGCAGAGATTATGATACGAAGAGAGAGTCGTTGTCTCTGTGTATGCAGAAGCGTCTGAGGCTACTTGCATACATAGATGGAGAGAGAGAGAGAGAGAGAGAGAGAGAGAGAGAGAGAGAGAGAGAGAGAGAGCGCTTCACTCTGTGTATGCATGAGGGTCTGCGCTGCGTACTTGTGATTGGGGTACTCTGGGGTGACGGGCACACGCACAGAGAGAGAGAGAGAGAGAGAGAGAGAGAGAGAGAGAGAGAGAGAGAGAGAGAGCCCTTGA